TTCGTTTTTCTGTAGTGACTGGCCGTGCACACATAAACTTTGAGCGTGGATGGGGATTATCCAATAGCTCTTGTAAAAACATGAGCAGCCCGATACCCCACATTTCCGTGGGTCCAGATCATTGTCGGTGCTCCATTTAGAAAACACAGACCATTTAGACGCATAGAGCTTTCTAGTGGGAGGAGCTCTGGCATGCACAATCGTGTTTATAACTCCTTCTGGCAGAGCAACGGGTAGTCGTTGATCACCCACACATGCAGCGGCCAGCGCTCTGGGTTGGGATGTCAGATCGAGCCGCTAGCCTGATCCTCTGTACTACCTGTGGTAATAGCGAGACAGGTGGGAAGGTATAAAGGGGGCAGCTGGGCCAGTCCTGGGCAAGTGCGTCCTTGCTCTTCAAGAAGAATACTGGGCAGTGAGCGTTTTCTTCTGACGCAAAGAGGTCGACTTCCGCTCTACTGAATAGGCGCCATAAATTCTGGACTGTTTGAGGGTGCAGGGACCATTCCCCTGGGGGAACGTTGTCTCTGGACAGTTTGTCTGGGCCGTCGTTAAAATGATAGCGACCACTATATTTCCAGACAGTTTATGTGAAGGAGCTTTTCCTGATCTGACCAAAGGCCGGTGAGCCCTTGCAGATCGCGCCCCAACCCGTGTTGGACGCATCTGCAGAGATGACTTTTTGGCGTGAGATAGCTCCCATCATCACTCCCCGCTGATACCACTCGGCCACTTTCTCTGGCGGCCAGTGTTGTAGCAGGCACATACGCAGTAAACCCAGCTGGAGTACTGCTGCGGCTGAGGCCATACAGCCTAACATTCTCTGGAAGGTTTTCAAAGGGGTGAGGCTGATCATCTGAAAAGATGCGGCTAACGCCCGTTTCACACATACTCTGTTTGCAGTGCGTATGCAATCCATATTTTTTTTCCATACCCATGTTAACAGGTTAGAGCTTTCACACTGCACGCGGTTGCAGTCCGTCGATCCGTTCCAGTTGCGGTGCGTATATAGCAGTGCAGAGATCGTTTCCACACTGAGTCTATTTTTGCTGTGCTGCAAACGCAGAAATAAAGTGACAGTGCAAATGTAGGCCAGAACGAGACTTCCTTAGATTTCCACGACGCATGCGCGAGATTTGCGATCTGCTCACACCAGCTTACACTACTTCAGATCGCAATTCTCGCGCATGCGTCGTGGAAATCTAAGGAAGTCTCGTTCTGGCCTACAAGGAAGAAAAGAAATAGTCGAATAAACTCGTTATTTTTGTTTGTTTTTTCGCACAAAAAGTATTCGTGTCGCTTGATAAACATATAGTTGAGCCACGGTAGTCACTTGGGATATTTAAACATTTTCTTCATTGACTTTCTGGGCCGTCAAGAGGCAGTCCTTTAGGAGCCAATGTGGTAGTTATACAGCTCTCAAATTTAATCAAAAATATCTTCATTTGTGTTTCGAAGACGAACGAAGGTCTTACGGGGTTGGTACAGCATGGGGGTGAGTAATTAATGACTTAATTTTCATTTTTGGGTGAACTAACCCTTTAAGAGTGACCACGGTCAATCGGACTGCAGTAGATGTGAAAGATATGAATAAAAATGATGTTAATTCAGCCAGCACACATGCCTGTGTTTACTTCCTGTTTTCAGTCGAAGTCCACAGTAGTCGATTGTCGAGTCCGCACGCGATCATTGGTAACTAAGCAACAGTGGAGACTCAGACTGTCAGCTGTCAGCCTATGACGGTGCTGTGTGGTGTGCTTAGAACATCAGCTCAAATGGATAGTTCATCCGAATCAGATGTTGAACATCATTTAGTTACTAATGATCGCGCGCGAACTCGACAATCGACTACTGTGGACTTCGACCGAAAACAGGAAGTAAACACGGGTATGTGCGCTGGCTGAATTAACATTTTCATTCATATCTTTCACATCTACTGCAGTCCGATTGACCGTGGTCACTCTTAAAGGTATAGCGGAGGATCTTTCCGAATTTTAGAGAAGACCCGACCTCCCCAATTTTTTAAAAAAAATGCACATGCACAAACAACACTCTTGCTCCCGAGAGATAGGGAACGTCTATACGCCTTGCACAATTATGTTGCAAATTCTAAACTAACTAAAAAACATTCATAAAAAAGACAACATGCCCTTCCGTGTTTTATTTACTTATTATACTGATCGATTGAGTGACCGAGGACTCAAGACATGATATGTGCAACCCTGTATCACACGAAATACGTTCTGAGGAAACTATTTTGCAAATCGCAATTACGTTACATAGCAACATATTAAGCAGTGCTATTACGTTGGTCCTTAACCTAAAATCTCTCATTGTTAATACGTTATTTTTATACATAGTTGCATATGGAGAAGTAGCTTGTTGCATTTGTGTAATAATAAACACACAAGATTTTAGAATATTTCAGCGTGATACCATTTACCATTTTGGACAAAAGGCTACTTTAGACAAATTGAGATGTTTACCGTGTCTATGAGGTGCATGACTCGTGCCAGGGCTAGCATTGTAGCTTGCATTAACTTTTACTAGTGATTTTAAATGGATTTCTCCAAATAGCGTGACAAACTTTACCTGTCTAGTAGAATCTTCGCGACTAGAATGCGCGAAGAATGCTCGCGACTGCGGCATCAGTGAGAAGCCCAACCTGTGCTTTTAGCGCACGCCAGCGTGTGATATTCACCCAAAATCTCTCTGGTCTTGTTTCTATATTCTGCGGCCTTTCTCTTCTTATCATACACTTAGTAAACATTTTTTCTCTTTCGACCCTCAGCCATTTTCAAAGGAATGGCTGAAACCGTAACTCCGACATAATACACATGAAAGTGAAAACTACATAGGGATGAGCACGTAGCCTACGACGGCCTTACGTAAACATATCACCAGAATGATTGACACTTAGGTGGACCAATAGTATAGACTACCCACCCGGAAAAAGAAAATCCTCCGCTATACCTTTAATAACACCACTCACACGGCTGTGCACTTGTAATGACAAATCAAGGATGTCAAGAGGCTAAAGGCAGGTTTAGAACATGTCCCATTGAAGTCAACAGGGTGCGAATTTTAAAAATAGGATAACACGATGCAGGCAACACTGATTTTTGTCATTTTTGTCTGTACTGACAGCACTCTAAATGTACAAAAAATGAGCTCAATGTTAAAATTGACCGGAGTTCTACTTTAAAACAGTTTGATGTGGTTGTAAATTTGGTGCTTGGACTTCCTTGTTTTTAAGTCTGCAGGCAAAATGCTGTGTCAGGGGATGAGTTGGTGTAAATGATTTTTTTCTAATTGCGTAGATTAGTTTTACTGTACAGTAGCCATACGACAGAGTGCCTATAGTTTTCAATGCCTTAATTAAAAATGTGAAACGTAAAGGGGACTGAATAGTGTTATGGATTAAATTTTAAATTGATAAATGTATTTTCTGATGGCACATTAGACGAAGCACTTCATAAAAAATATATGTTGTAATATCTGGTGGCAAGCACGGAACCCATACTGTACTGATTAAATTTGGCTGTAAATTCAATTTGTATCAAGGTTGTTTTTATTTCTCTTGGATTGTTTTAATGACTTAAAGATTCAATTCTTAGAGCATTTCAAAACAAGACCAAAAGCTCCATTCCACTGATAACGTTCATAATGTTAGACAATTTAAGAATTGTAGCTCTGATCTTCTAACCTTCCCAAATGTGTTATTACTGGTTAACTACAGGATTCTTAATTTTACCTCAAACATATTTTTAACAATTAGCTTACCATGTATACGTTTAATTGGTTTTGTGTTTTTTTTTTTTTTTTTTTTGTGTATCTACTTGTGTGCTCGGGTTTAGGGTGAGTGTTTGTAAAAGCACTCAGTGACAACTTTGTTTTAAAGGGCTTTATAATATAAATTAGATTGACTTTGATAACTTTGCTGCTCAGCAAAATCACATTCAATGTATGGCTCTCTTGGGTCATAATCAGTAAATGTAGCAACTGAATTGTGTAAGAATGAGTTAAATGCAGTATATGATTGTGGCAGTCTTGGAGGACTGAAATGACTTGCAGTTGAAGATTGCATGTTCAAGTTCATTTAAGTTAAGCTGAACTAACTAATTAAACCACCCTATTTTTAACAAACCAATATAACTTCCGGAAGTACCATTATGAATTGGCCAGCTGGCCATATTATGACCTTTCTTTGTCTGTAGATTACACTGGTTTGTCCCCAGATTGGACATCCATGTGTACTTATTGATACACTAGTTGGTCAGGGTTTTGTCCCCAGATGGGATTTCCTGTTAATGCTCATATAAGGAGTTGTCCCCGTGTCCCCACATGTGTTAACCTGACCTGTCCCCAGATTACCACCTACCCTTATTTTAATGAATTAATTACATTTTAAGAGAGATATTTATTAAACTTTTTTTTTTTTAGATTTTTTGATATGTTTATCTAGTCTCTAGGATGCCAGGAAAGTGGTGTCCCCAAAATGTGGTAAATAACTGGTGCCCCCACGAGGCACCCCAAACAAGTATGTGTGTGTGTGTGTGTGTGTGTGTGTGTGTCTATATATAATAAATGTCTCAAAGTATTTTTTTTTAAAGTAGGCCAATACATGTTGTGTAGAGATGACAACACAGAACTGATGACAACACAGCTTGATCGTTGGTTGACCAATCTGTAGTGTTTTTTTTTCCATTTGGTCGATTAGAACTAAGTGTGATGAAAATTAAACTATTTTTTTTTAAATGACGCAAGATTTTAAAATTTATTTTAATGAGAAGGGTCATATACGTAATAAATCATAAACGGTTTCTTTGTTTTGCGTTTAGAATACGAAAACAAGAAAACGAATTATTTGAAGATACACAGTTATTTAAAAAAAGTTATTTCCTTTGTCTTGCAGTTTTGGCATGCAAAGTCGTCTTGGCATAGAGTTCATAAATAAAATTATTTTCCTTTTGTTTGTAACATCACATTTTTCTTTCCAGATTCAAATAACTGCAAGCAGTGTCCAGGGGAATATTGGTCTAACGATGAGAAAAATAAATGTGTGTTAAAGGCTGTAGAATTTCTGTCATTCACAGAAGTTATGGGTATAGTGCTAGTCTTTTTCTCACTGTTTGGAGTTGGATTGACTGTACTGGTGGCCATCCTGTTTTACAGCAAGAAGGACACCCCCATCGTGAAGGCCAACAACTCAGAGCTGAGCTTCCTGCTGCTCTTCTCATTAATTCTGTGTTTTCTCTGTTCACTTACTTTCATTGGTCGTCCCACTGAGTGGTCTTGTATGTTCCGACACACTGCGTTTGGGATCACTTTTGTCCTCTGTATCTCCTGTGTTCTGGGGAAAACAATGGTGGTGTTAATGGCCTTCAAGGCTACACTTCCAGGAAGTAATGTCATGAAATGGTTTGGACCTGCACAACAACGACTCAGTGTTCTCACCTTTACACTTATACAGGTTCTTATCTCTGTGTTATGGCTAACAGTATCTCCTCCATTTCCCTACAAAAATATGAAATATTACAAAGAAAAGGTCATTCTTGAGTGCAGTCTGGGTTCCACAATAGGTTTCTCAGCTGCTCTGGGTTATATTGGTCTACTGGCTGTCTTGTGCTTCATGATGGCTTTTTTGGCTCGGACGCTGCCTGATAAATTCAATGAAGCCAAATTCATCACATTCAGTATGCTTATATTCTGTGCTGTATGGATCACATTTATCCCATCTTATGTCAGTTCTCCTGGAAAATTGACTGTAGCCGTGGAGATATTTGCCATTTTAGCTTCAAGCTTTGGTTTACTATTCTGCATATTTGCACCAAAATGTTATATAATCATGTGTAAGCCAGAACAAAATACAAAGCAGCATATGATGGGAAAGTTTGACAAATAAACTGATTTAATTAAATGTGGACAAAGTCATAACAATTTGTTCATGTACAAAGTAGCTCTGTAGGATGTGGTTCACGTGTTTGATTCAGTCACCATGTTAGTTTTTCATGTTGCTAATTACACTAAATCATAGATTAGGCATTATATTCATAATGATTTTTATGGTGGTATCTGAATTGGTGTAATATGTGTAAAACAGGGCTGTTACTTGCATGAATGAAATGTTCATCTGGCAGTTTTAGCGTTAATTGGTTATTTTCATTGGAAGAGATTGCAGCAGATGGTAGAAAAACTATATTTATTCCTTGTGTGTACCTCTTTTATCCATCTAAAAGTGCATTTTTTGGATTTGTAGTGCAAAGTTTTATTCAGTGAACTTGCAGTAAAGTTATTGTCACCATCATTTCATTTCATTTCACAAAATATCATTTCATTTGACAAAAGTCCGATATCATTCCATTTGATAAAAGTCTAATACACATACATAAAAATAATTTCTATAAAACTGCTCTAGCTTAATTTTTTTTTAGAGAATTTAGCTTCATTAAAACTTTTGTGTGTAGAACTATATTTTTTTATACATCCCTTCTAAAGTAGCTATTGACTCCAAAGCATAATTTACAACCAACCAGAGGCCATTAATATTCAGTTATTGTTGCCAAATAAAGAGTGTGAGTGATTGTGATTGACAGAATGATTGAACGTGTGAATTGTGATCATTTTCCGTCATAAAAAAAGGCCACCATTTTGAATTGTCCAAAAAATCTACTTTTTCAAACTTCTCCTAGACCATATTCATCAGATTTTCACCAAAATTGCACCAGATAATCTCCAGGCAGTGCCGACAAAAAGTTGGAATGGAATTCCATGGAAGTTGAGTTGTTTAAATTAAATCAAATATCCTTGCAATCATGTTTAGAAAATCCTAAAACTCCAGGAGAACGTAGCAATCAACCCTATGGTAAAGAAAGCAGGTTTTGCAGTTCCTGTCAGAAAATAGGCCATAAAGAGGGGAAATGCTGGTCACTGGGTAGGGGTAAACCTCCTCCTTATTTTCAGAAAAATAGCAAACCACTTTCTAAGAGTAAAAATCTGCGATCTGCACGTACCTGCAAAACTCTTAATGAGTTAACCGCCGTGTTTATGCAAGGCCTTCAGCTATTAACTTCACTTGCTAGTGGATTTTTAGCTCAATAGCAACAAGTTTAATATCCAAATTGCAATGATCCTGTTAGTATTTTCAGATCTGTAATTGCACGTAACACATTGCCCATAGAACACAATTTATACAGTGGCACAGTTTGTGCCACTACAATGTGCAGACTAATGACGTTTATTTCTTTAATGCCTAAGTAAGTGATGTGATCTTGACAGTATTGGTGATTGATGGGGTGCCACATCCCATTTGGTTTTATGTAAAGGGAGGATGGAAGATTTATTCCAGTTTATTGCATAATCGGATATTTTTGAGAAGGACTGGATTGTTTAAATTATTTCTTGAGTAGATGCTAGGGGTTCTTGTATACATAGTAGGATATCATCTGCATAAAGTGAGATTTTATGTGTTTGTTGTGGTGTTACAATACTTTTGATTGCTGGGTTTTGACGGATAGCTGCTGCTAAAGGTTCAATAAAAATCGTGAATAGGGATGGAGAGAGTGGACATCCCTGCCTCGTCCCCCTGTGCAGTGGGAAGCTTTGTGATGTTAGTCCATTTGTTGTGACTGTGGCCGATGGTGATATGTATAAAATCTTGATCCAGTTAATAAATGACTCTCCAAAGCCGAATTTTTGTAACGTGGTGAATAAAAATTTCCGGTTGACCCTATCAAAAGCTTTTTCGGCGTCTAATGTGGCAATGAGAGTATCTTTCTGTTGTATTGATGAGTAGTGCATTAAATTGTATAATCTGCGGGTTTATCAGATGCATGTCTACCTTTTATGAAGCCGGTCTGATCAGGATGGATTATATATGGTATAATTTGTTCAATTCTATGAGCTAATGCTTTGCTAATAATTTTTATGTCGCTATTTATAAGTGAGATAGGACGATAGTTGGATGTGAAGGTGTGGTCTTTGTTAGGTTTAGGAATGAGTGTTAAGTGCTGTATTCATGTGGGAGGGGAACTTTGCATTGTGTTTTATTTCTGTTATTGTTCTGCTAAATAGTGGGTATAAGGTTGACCAAAAATGTTTGTAGAACTCAGCAGGGAAGCCATCCGGACCTGGTGCTTTATTATTTTGCATGCTTTTCAATGCGGAGTTAAGTTATTTTTCTGTGATTGGTAATTCTAGTGTGTTTATTTGTTCCATGTTGAGTTTTGGTAGAATGGTGTTATTGAGGAATTGGGTTATGTCTTCTTGGTTTGGGTCAAGATCGTGTAGGGACCCCTTAAAATATGCCTTAATTTGAAAAGTGCAGAGTATTAAAATTTATACATTTGATTATTTGTTTTTATTATTTTTGAGTGCAATGTAACAAAGTGTACCAACATTCTTTGTTTCTGTATTATGTAAACTGATTTTCTTTACTCAAAATGTTGTGTGTTAATGTTGACCAATCAGCATTGAGATTATTTAAAGTTTACGGACGTAAGTTGCGTTGAGTTACGTTTAGAGACGACAGAAGGAGATCACACATGGCGAGCTACTCACATGTCCTCGTTTTATGAAAGTAACGTCATTCTTAGAGACTTTGTTACTTGTGTGAGTACAGGCCTAAAGTGACAAATATAACTTTCACCCGATTTTTGTTTGCATAGTGTTATTTTTATTTTACTGTATTTAGTATAATTTCAACCCACTCTGTCGTTGGATTGCGTCATCTGTTTAGTGCATTGACAGTGCGATGTGACGGAGAAACTCGCATTAAGGACAACTGCATCATTGACAGCTGTATCGTTGTCACAAGAAGAACTTCCAAATGACTTGCAACTGTTTGGGGGACGAGATTCGTCGCAAGCTGCTTCGTCGTTGCGTTTGAACGGTTTGAACTGGACTTTCATCCCGCGCCGGGCTGCGTGACTGTTCTGTTCGTGGTTCGACCTGTAAGTGACTGCACTGTTTCGTCATTTCCCTGGATGGAATGTAAGTGAATTCGTCTCGACAAATCCTCTTGGTACTGAGTTAACTTAAATCCATTCCCGTGAAAGTGCACCAACGATTGGGCCCCAACGGCTAGCCAAAAGAGTGTGTGTGGGGTTTTATTTTATTTATTTATTTTCCTTCTGTAAGAGACTGTGATCAAACTCATTTATTGTGTGTTCATTCGGTGAATTGTGTTTAATCCAAAGGAGAAATTGTGAGTTTTCAATAATCATTTGGTGTAGTTTTTTCCCCTCTTGAAATAAGAAGGGAGAGTGTAGACATTTTTTTGAGTGATCATTCAGAATCCTCAGAGGTTATTGAGGTTGTTGCATACTTAATTGTTTGAGGGGAAAAAAAGTGTTTATATTGAACAACACAGAATCCATTTTTTTATTTTTACACTTTGATACCACAGCTGTTATTCATTGATTGATTGATTTTATTTTTTTTCTGAAAAAAGGTGTAGTGTCCAATAAATCATTGTTATTATTATTTTTTCTCCTTATTCAGAATTGCTGTCTTGATTTATTAGTTAGATTATATTGGGAAAAAAGGGGATATAGAATTTTGGGGGAAGTAAGTTATAAGTAGATTATTTTGCTTTATTATTCCCTGGTGAAGGTATCACGCACTATTTAATAGTTTGATAAAGAAGAAATTAAACTCCGGCCAATTCACCATTCGACTGCCGGGAATTCAGGGTTTTCTGTTTTGGGAAACATAAAAAAATTAACCCCCAGGGTTAATAAAAGGGTTACAATCGGATGAGTATAATTTAGTATAGTAATCTTGAAATATAATCTCAACTGGTGAATTGGTTAGCTTCCCTGCCGAGTTTCTGATAGAGGTTATAGCTGTTCTTTCTTTATTTCTTTTAATTTGACTGGCTAAATATTTTCCAGATTTATTGCTATAGTGAAAAGTTTCTCGACGGAGCCTGTGAATCAGAAATTGTTTTCTTTTGTTTATTATTTCATTAAGCAAAAATTTGTTTTCTCTAATTTCTTTATAGATGCTTTCTGATTGATTATTTGCATGTAAAATTTCTAATTCTTTTATTCTTTCTTCCAATTGGGCTTCTTTTTCTCTGTCCTTTTTCTTTTTATATACTTAATATGATATAATTTTCCCCCGTAAAACTACTTTCCATGTTTCCCAGAGCAGTGATGCTGATGACTTTGGAGAGTCATTTATTTCAAGGAAGGATGTCCACTCTCTTTTGAAGTAGCTGTCAAATTCTGGATCTTTCAAGAGTGATGTATTAAAACGCCATCTGGTGGGGTGCTTTGGTATTGCAGATGGATTCCACGCGAGGGAGTGGTCACTGATAATGATCGGATGTATTTTGGTTTCTAAAATATTTGGTATGATTGAATTACTGGTTAGAAAGAAATCAATGCGGGAGTAGGTTTGGTGAACATTTGAATAAAAGGTGTATTCTCTGGCGAGTCGGTGTTGTAGCCTCCAACCATCGCAAAGACCAAAATCACTCATGAACTGTTTTATTGTTTTGGAGGACTGCCAAGATTTTCCTGTATGTTTTGACCTGTCGAGCGATGGATTGATTACAGTATTATAGTCTCCCCCTATAATTATTGGACCGTTGGAAATGTTTGAAAGAGAAGAGAAGAAATTTGCAAAGAAGGAGGAATCATCAGAGTTTGGTCCATAGATGTTGCCAATTGTAATCGGATTATTATTGATTGAAATGTTAATAATGATAAAACGGCCTTCAGGATCTGAAATGGTTGTATGGTGGTTAAACTGTATTTTTTTTGTTTCTTAAGATGCATACTCCTCTTTGTTTTGAATTATAGTTGGAGGAAAAACAGTAGTGTTGGGCGATATGCTCCATTTTCATATCGTCCTATCGTCAGCCTGTGAGATCGGCGATACACGATAGTATCGTGAGGG